CAAGATACTTTCCAGCTCAGAGAAGCTCTCAGCTGCCCCATAGTCTATGGTCTTTATTAACTGGTGTCTGTTGTCTCACTTCCTGGCAAAACAGCTTTGATTGGCAGACCTTGTCCACCAGCGGCACTTCCAGTCAATCTCAACTGACCATAAAGAGGATTTGAACTATGCTACTCTGGTTGACAATGTCATAGAAATCCCTTAAAGACCACCCCACATAATGTCATACTCACTAGATACCATTCCAATTTGGCAACCCCAATCGCTCATGGTTCCCTTGCACTGAGACCAATTCTCAATTCAATGACAATGAACAATTTACCATTCTCGATGCCTCAAACATTGGCTAATATTTCTGAGGCTAAGGCTGCAGAACGGTTGAAGTCATGGATTTTCACAGCATTGGCAAAACTGTGATGTCCAGGCAACAACTTTCTCATACACCAGTTTCTCTTCAGTGATTAATTCTCCCTCTCATTCATGAATATTTCTATTTGCAAAAAATGCTATTCATTAAATAAAAGTAGTTATTTAGACTCGATTATGCAAGCTTCAAATAAAGGCAATACACATGTTAATAGAAAACCGTGCAATAATATTTTGTGGTCATGACATCAGAACTTCTCCTTCCTACCTGCTCTATGGTACTTTTAGGTACAATAATTTTTCGAAAGAGTAAATTACGTGGGTTAACTATGTAACAGGAGGTTTGGTAAGATAGATTGTAAAGTAATAATGAGTTTTGCTAAAACTATATGAATCTGTGCTAAAATATAACTGGACGAACGATAAGTGTAATATACAATGAAAAACAACCTTTATTGTTACACAACATAAATCGATGACATCTATAATTCACCTTATGGACGACGAACAGTTCACTAGAGTTGTGAATTGATCAGACTGGTTCTACTCCTTCAAAATTTATGTCCAAGTTGGCCAACTCACTCAAGATAATGTTTGAGACTAAGTCATTGAGATGTTATACTATACTGAATAAATCTGGTAATCTTCTGAAAAATAGTCACTTTTATAACTTAGGTAAGTAAACAAATACATGGAGGTGATACATAAAGAATGATCAAGCTAGTGATTTAATAGTAGTGTTGGTGAATGTAGTTACTATACGAGATCGATCATATGCTCTAACAAATACTTTAGAGCTCTAAAACTCAACACATATTGAAAATTGATCCTTCTTTAATAGTTCTAGAACATGTCTTTCTACTACCCATAACTGACACCTTTGTGATTTGAAAATATGTTTACCAGGTAATTAAAACTTTATTGAGTATTTTTAGGAATTTGTATGGTATTTAGGTAAACTGATTTCCAGTACGTGAGTTATAAGTAATTTGAGATAAACAGCAGGTTCCAAAGGGAAAGAACATTTGAACCAGATATCTATTTCCACAAATATGGGGTTCTACTGGGATTTTTCTTTGTTGGGTAAACTCAGATTTCATTTTGTGACTACATATAGTTGTTGAAGCAGGCAAAAAGCACAGCTACTCAAGATGAAGACATAAACAACAATAATGATATATCATACGCTGAGCGAACACGAAGGTTCAAAGAGTTATATGACATCAAACAATCCTATATTACCTATGTCAATAGTCATTCGTATTATATATATATATATATATATATATATATATAGTATTACCTAACTAAGTAACTACTAGGTAATATTAATTACTATAGTAACTTCTAGTTAATTTAGTAGAT